AGAGCATGAAACAGCCCAGAAAGGATTCTAACAGGGTTCACAGAAATCGTCTTTGTATTTAGTTCAATTTTCTGCTTTTTCTTAGTGAAATATATACGGAGTACTTATAAAAGTTACTTTCTTTTTATGTTATCGCCTATGCGTTATCCGTTGAGCCTGTGTAGAGTTATGTGCTGCATATGTAACTAGATAATTCAACCTTTGATTTTGTTGAAGCCGAAGCACTCATACTTTTAAGATAAATATTATAAAATCATGCAGTAAATGTAGAATGTGAATTATTTTATAGTTATTGATCACAATCCAGTATATGAGTGTCGATAAAGTATCAAAAAGTTTTGGACTCCAGCGTGAGCCAAATGGTAATCGTTTGTAAAAGTAAAATTTACCTCGCGCGCTAATACCCAGAATCCTCCAGAGATCTGGACGTACTGGCAACAATATGAATGCGTCTACTATATCTGTCTTAATCATGGATGTGTTCTGTTCGAGTGTGTTTATTAATTGAATGGTATTATCTAACTTAACGTATTTTAATGAATATTCATCTTTATCAATGCTCCCTAAGTGGGCCAGCCGCTTTCCCAAGGTGCATGGTGTCCACACGGACATAAAACATGTCTGCGAAGCGGTGAGCAAGGACGTCCGTATTTATTCGAAGGACACGATGATACTGATGAATATCATGCCATCATCACCATCGAACACAAACAACAACAGACAAGAAGCATCGTTCATGTACTCTCAGCTCCTCATCGACATTCTCTTTGGACTGGAGAACACTCATGCATCTAAACAAGAGTTGATTGATCAATGCCGAAGACAGTATGAAGACAATGAACAAGAACTGATGACTATTGATGAGTTCGATAAGAATTATCGAAAGGATCAAGCTATTTGGTGGTACACGCGAGAGTGCTTCTTGTACCGAATGTTGAATAAAGCACTGCGCGTACAAGACACTGGTATTCTCTTCAAGTTTCGCTTCTTCATCAAAGATCTTCTAGACCAACTTATCACACTGTACTCAGAGTCCAATGATGAAATATCAACACTAACTGTTTATCGTGGACAAGGTATGGTACTTGAAGAGTTTCTGAAGATGAAAGACAATATGGCCGGTTTTTTATCGATGAATAATTTCTTGTCAACAAGTACAAGTAGAGCTGTTAGTGTTCAGTTTGTTGAACAATGGTTAAATCGCGACGGTGTCGTATCCATTCTGTTTGAAATGGATATAGACGTTTTGAAATGTATCAAACCGTTCTCAAAACATCTCATATCTCAGCTATATCAAAACTGAGAATGAAATCATTTTCTCGATGGGAACCGTATTTCGAATCGAATCAGTGGAACGACAACAGGATAGAAACATGTGGAATGTGAAACTAGCCATGACTGGAGAAGAAGATGAAGAGTTGAAGAAGCTCACTGAACAGTTAAGGAACGAGATCATAGCCGAAAGCAAGTTGAACAGCCTAAGTGTACTGTTGCAACGGATGGGTGAATACCGAAAAGCAGAGCAGCACTACACTATGTTGCTGAACGACAGTTCGCTAGATGATCCTAACATGCCGATATTTTACAACAATCTTGGACTGCTTTACAGCACAATGGGTGACTACTCAAAGGCCTTACGCTATTATAAAAAGACACTGGAACTTCAGTTGAAAACAGTCAGCCCGGACCATCCAGATGTGGCTACGACATACAACAATCTTGGAAGTGTTTACTATCAGGTGGGTGACTACTCAAAGGCCTTACGCTATTATAAAAAGACACTGGAACTTCAGTTGAAAACACTGAGTCCGGACCATCTAAATGTGACTGCGACATACAGCAATCTTGGAAGTGTTTACTATGCAAAAGACAGATACGTTTTTTCGAGAACCTTCATTTAATGTTCGATAGGTAGCAGTAAAAATACTTGTTTTTTTTTATGGAACAGTTTATTGTCCCAAAAATGGTTGACAAAGTAAAAAAAATTAGTATCTGCAGAAAAAGTACGTTGTTACTCTGATAATAGAAAAGACCGAAACAATACATAGTAGTAAAAAAAATTCAAATATTTAATATTTAATAAAAAAACAAAAAAAACTCGTGTTACAGATTCTGTTATCTCGTATTTATATATACATATTCTGTTTTTTTGTAGAAAGCTTATAATATCAATTTTAGAATGTTTCGCATGTAGAGAGAGACGTTTTAAAAATCTGTTGTTTTTGCGCAAATCTGATAAGCGATATCAATTCTTTTTCGGATTTTTTGCGGCTAAATAAGCAACCCATGTCGATTGATATTCGGTAGCTTCATGTGATGTTTCAAGGTGTTTTATAAACCATAGCCAGTAACAGAAAAGATAGTCACGTAGTGTAAACTCCTGACATAGTATTTTTACTGTCACATCGTCCCAGTTATTCAAGTCAAAAACTATCCTAATATCTGAACAATAAACATGTTCAATGTATTCCTTTTGAGTATCCGTAAAAAAAACTAAATCGGAAAAAATAAAATAAAATGGGGAAGAACAAAAGCATAAAACAATATGCGACGAATATGTAGAATTGTGATAGGAATGTCCCTAAATAGGATTTTGAGAGCATTATATATATTTCGTATGATTTTTATTTTCTTTGATATGTAAAGTCCCCAACCTAACTTCACCGTTATTTCCACTCCAAGATGCTTGTATCTCTTAAAAAATTAATGATAACTTCTCGATATTTAACTACAGGGTATGTTGGCGCAACGACATTGTGTACAAGTAGAGCTTTAGTTTTATCTATATTAACGGGAAGAATTTTTTCGTTTGAGAATTTGGAAAGGACTCCATTACTATTCTCGCTTGTCCCTGTAATTCAATTATATTTTGTGAGAAACGTTTCTCTAGCGCTCCAAATAGAACTATCGTAAGATCATCAGCGAATAAATGAATCAGGGTACCTATAAAATATTTAGGTAAAAAATGAATGTGTAATCTAAAACGTGTAGCGGCCAGAACTGAACCTTGCGGTGCGCCGACAAAGATTTTTACGGTTCGAGAAATTACTTCAGCAAAGTGAATCGACATCGTTCTATCTCCTAACCACTGGTGAATCCAGCGCAGAAGAGGAAGGGGGAAATTAAGTTCGTTTAATATTCTTAATAGAGCAGGATGCCATATTTTATCGAATGCTGACAAGAAATCCACAAAGATTACTAGCGCTGGTCTATTACATGCAGACACTGTTAGGCGTAAATCCTCAATTAATGACAAAATCCATGTTTGAAGTCTTCCTTCAGGAGTAAAATCTGATTGTTCGTAGGTAAACTCCGTTTTCTTTACACCATTCTAAAATTCTATTATGTATAATCTTTTCACACCACTTTCCAATGTTTGATAGCAACAAAATTGGTCTTAATCTATTCACACGCGAGTAAAGTCCATCCTTAGATAGGCAAACAACCTTGGCATGCTTACTAAATTCTAGACAAATACCTAATTCAGCCTACCTGTTCAGTGGGCTTCTTCAATTCTTCATCTTCTTCTCCAGTCATGGCTAGTTTCACATTCCACATGTTTCTATTATGTTGTCGTATTAGTAGAAAATTTAATTCTTTATAAATTATTTTAGTCCTTAATGAATTACGCACTAACATAGAGACACCTCCAAAAGAATTGATACCCTCTTGTTTAAGCCAATAGTACGAAGGAATCTGAGGTACTTTACTAATCTCTGAACCCACACCAGTAAGTATACGTATTTGAGGTGTATACGTCGATATTAATATGTCCACGTCCGCAATATGGGTACTTATATATTGACAATTACATGCAATAAGAGATAGGTAATCAAAGTCAGATGCCGGTCTCTGTTTATGCCATTTTGAGCAGATATCACTCACACTTATTCTCCTATTCCATTCTTCGCCTATTTCTATTAACATTTATCTTTCAGAAGCAGATTCCTCAAACAACTTTAACGACTGCGTGTTCACTTGAGGCTTTACGTATTGAAAAAAACTATTCATTATGCTGTTGATTCAAATAGTTCGTGCCTTGAATCAATAACTCATTATGTTTTGTCATCAGTGTTTGTAATTTCTGGTGATGATCATTAGCAAGTTGTAGACGATCAGACAATGTATTAATTATAATTAATGTTTCAGCCAGTATTCGATTGTTATCTTGTCGTTCATGTTCCTCGACATGAATATTAGTGTTCTGTTTTTCAAGTATACGATAAAATAATTGCATTGTTTGAATTATTGGTGGCATAACTTCACATACAGTCGTATATATGTCAATAATAGCCTCCGTTTGAATTTTGTTTTGAATGTGTTGTGTCGTTGCCTGCATTTGTTTCACATGATCCTGTTTTAACTTGAAGATCTTTATCATATTTCCAGATTTTATCTTTTCAAATTCACTCTGTAATGCCTTGATGTCATTAACCGTCGAACAACTCTGTACTTGATGAAACGTCTGTGATGAAGTTGAATTCGAGTTCAATAATAACCACATTCTCTGGTCATTTCGATTAAAAAGTTTGATGTTGTTCTATCCGCTTATCAGGCATTGATTTTGACAGATTGCTTCGTAAAGTTTTCACTCTTTGGTCTCGATATTTCGAACATTAGGAGGAAGTTGACGACTATCACTTTTTAATTTTTTCAGCAATTCATCCTGAAAACCTATAACGTACGAACATCGAAAATTTGTCATTTCATGATCTTGTTCACGATGTGTACAACATACGATACATTCTTGATGATTGATGCCATTGTTTCGATCCTCTCCACATCGTCGGCATATATCGATCTGTGAATTGCAATTCTTTTTCATGTGCCCTGGATAATTGCAACGACTACAGATAAGTAGTTTAGGAGATGGCAAAAACTCATCGACATCGAATATTCGACCCGCTAGTAGGAATTTTCCTTTATTCAATATTGTTTCATACTCATCAGATGATCGCATATCAAAGCGAATATTTCTTGCTTTTATGTTCATTGTTCCAACCATGTTTTCGATTGTGTATATACTTGAATATTGTTCATTTAATCCTTCCTTAACTTCTTCTAAAGATATATTATTATCGACGAACTTCATAATTATATTGAGTTGCTGAGGCAATTCCTTTGGCAGGACCAATTTCAAATTCACATTTGTAATTGAATTTGGAATATGTAATAGATCCAAAAAAAAGACGAATATTTCAATTGAATTTGTGAAGCATACAACCACGATGAATCAGGTGCTGAATGTTTATGTCACGATGAATTCAGGTGATGAATTTGACGACTCTACACATTTTGGTTAAGCCCCTTTTTCAGGTTTCTTTTCGCTTGCGTTGAACAATCCGAACATTGTCATCGTTCTCAAAATCATCTTCCAACAATCTATGGCGTTTAGGAGTTCCTTCTTGTTGACTCTCTCGATCAGTTCGGGGTGTACATTGTATATTTCTCGTTAAAGTATACCGTTCATTCGTATCCACATCATTGTAGTGATTATATTCTAATTGCTGCATGTATGCCATAGTTCACTTTTAATTAGTTAACTTATTCTAGTGATCACACTGTTTTGTAAAAATAAACACCAGGCATTTAAAGTGCAAAAAATAAAAACCACGTACACAATATATGTGTATGTATATATAGTAGTAGACGAAATAAGAAATACGTCTGACTGCTGTCGTAGTAAATGGAGAAGTGATGGCAGTAAAAATACTGTATATTGAACTTGTAGCTCTTATATCTTAGCATCCAGTTGAGATAAAATTTTGATTTACTCTCTGTAAGCGGAAAACGCTAGAGAAATAAAACAAAATGATGCGTGGGTGTACTCTATTCAACCATGAAGCTTCAAAGTGCCAGTTCTGCAAGTGCGAGCGTCAGAATTCACCTTTCGGTCAGAGACTTTTATTTTAAGCATTTTCAGAAGGGAATCTACATGATAAAGTTTTGAGAGCTGATCGAATTTCGTTCATCGAGATCCACCGATTTTTGTATAATACTTATTAATCCTTTCAATTATAATTGGGGTTTTTCGGAACCACCTTGGAAATTCAGCTATCTGTAAGTATTGAAAACATGGTTTTCCACTGTTTTGAGTGTAAAGTATCAGAAAAAAGCTTTCCTGATTAATCCATCAGGTAATAAAACTCAACCCGACGCTCGGAACATCTTTTTATAAGCAACTTACGTTTCAAAATTTTTTTACGCTACAATAACTATGCCATTCACTCTCCGATTAGAACTTAACTGAACATGTTTTGAGTTTAGTTTAAATAAGTAAGTCGAACTTTTGTCAAACTTTGATTTGTATACTAGACTTTGCTGATTACTTTGCAAGCACAGATCACCAATTTTAGTCCACAACTGACTGGAATTATTGTCGAAGGACGGTTTTGAAACTCCTAAACTAATTGACAACTGGAATCATTGCTTTGTTGTTTTCCCACATCTAATAGTAAATATTGCGGTTAGTCACATTAAAATTAAAACTGAATCATTTCGAAATTGAGGAGTTTGTAAAAGAACAGTGAACATTGTTAGTGTCAAAGGTATCAGATAATAGAAGTTGAACATCTAAGTATATCCTTCATGAATTTATTGTTAGTCGGGCTTGTACTAGTGCTTATTGTTGTTGTTATTTCTCTCCAGTATATATACCATATTCTTTATTTTTCAATCACCACCGTTTTTCTATATAGTACTGTTTGTGTTAATTTGACGTTCTATAGGATCGGCTAACTGATGCATGCCATTATTATCGGTAGTGAACGATTCTTGTGAAGTAAAAATATTCGTTCATATTGCATAATGATTTAGACAGGCGTTTCGAAAGCTTTCTTTAACAATTTGTTGATAAAAATTGTTGCCCTATATGATTTTATGTTCGTTGGCTTCAATTAGTTTCCTCTTTTTAGGCGAGGTTCATCAGCGACCTAGAAATACACAATTTGTCCGTGTAAGATGAGTTACTAATTCAATTAAGGATTTTTATATCGGTGGGATCAATAACTTGGATTAGCTGAGCAAAATGCCGTATGCACAGTTACCGTACGACTGTTAGAAATACTATTGCTGTTCGCATGTCATTCTCTCCTCTGGTCATTCAGTTTTTCTATGACGGTTTTCTATGACTTTTTTTTCGATCATTCACTCTTTTAACAATAGCCAAAAAGAGTTAAGCTGAATATTTACCTGCATTAGGTCACTTTCACCCGACGAAGTTTTACACTAGTATTTCGACAAGTAATTCTTAATTCATCTATTGAAAGATCTTTAAGTTGTTTTTAAAAGTAAACAGGAGAAAGACAAGAAAACAGAAAATTGTTAGTCGAGTTTTAGATATCATAACTCTAAGAATTGGCAGAGATAAACTTGAATAAAACCAACCTTTTGCAAGTTCAAACCTACCGAGGAGAAACATAGCCTTCTTTCTTAGATTGTCCAAAACTGTTAGTGTTGCACATTAAGACGTCGAAAATCATTTTATTTCACTGTAGTTTGGGTGAAAGATGACTTTTACAAAAAAAACGGTCACGACAGAGACAATCGAACAGAACATAATTGAACGTGTCTTTATGTCAACTCATTGTAACACGTTCGTGATATTGTTTAGACATTTTTATCTTGCAAAGTTGGAATAGTAGTTGTAGTAATTATTGTAAAAAGCCTGATTTTTCAAATCTACTATTTCTTCTCAGTCGTTCACTGGATTCTTTTAATGTTTATTTTATTAGACTCTGTTTGTTCATGTCTCATTTTTTCTTCTCCGTCTTCAATACTGAAAACTGTTTTTTTTCTGAGTAAAAAATAATATATGTGTGATAAATTTTCTGTGGTTGTCGATGTACAATATTGATTTCTCAATACTTTTGTCTCTGTATTTTGTACAGTGACGAAAGTACTCTGTTTCTTCGAGTTTTTCTTGTCGTTCCTTCCTCTTCTTTTTCGTTGATGTCACCGCTAGTCATCGACAGATAGTATGAGAATCTTTTAGTGGTATAAATAGTAATTGCAATAAACGATAGTTAGATAATAGGTCAGTCTAACCAGTGATTGTTGTCAGCATTGAGCTTTGGTCTAGTTCGCAGTCAATATATATAAAGAATTGAGTATGTTCGAGTAAATTGTACATAAATCGTCCAAGGACAATCTAAACAATTGTGTTCGCAAGAAGTAGAAGACCAGCTTGTATCATTCACTAAAACATAAGGAAAGTATTCTGCATTATCTTTTTTAAATAAAATTTAGCTGTTAGTTATTCTCTCTTTTTTCGAAATAATATAAGCATTTGAAACAACTGGAAAAAACAAAAACATGTTTCGCAGTGACTATGTACAAATAATCATGCAGATGGTATCTTTATGTACTCGCATTAATATCATTAGATACCTAGTAGTAAGGGTAAAGATGATTTCGGTGCATAGAAAAGTGATTTTGGGACTAGGGGTGTGTGAGGCAACTATAAATATCACTGTGAATATTACCTACCGATTAAAGTAATCGCCACTAAGGACATACGCAGCGATTTTCTTATTAATACATTTTAATGCTCATACCGAAGTAACTACAGTAATTTTAAATTTATACGAGCTAAATGAACAAAAAAATTAAAAATTGATTATAAAAACTATTCGAGAACTTTTTTTCACAAAGTAAATAACTAACACAGAATGTTGCTGTTGAGAATTTTTGTACCATATTAACTAAATACTCTACTGATATATCCATGGAAGAATAGATTTTGTTTTCTTAGTTAACGTAACTAATCAATATTGCTGTCATTAATGATTCTCTAATTTCCCATTAGTACTTTCTACCTTTCTCAAGCGAATAGTTCTCCACTCGTTGGAAACTATACATTTTCCATCAATTTTAACAGCACTAGCATTTACTACAAAGGTTAAGTACTTACCGATTTATAGGCTTGACTACCGTCCTCTATTGGTGACTTGTATAACGAGTGTATTGTTGGTAAAGTATTATTCTGATTAATTAGAACAACAGTGGGAGAAGGGTTCTCCCCTGGCAGTGAGGTATCATCATCGTACAAAAACTGTTTATTATTATCTGAATGCAGATGAAGATGTTTCGATGTTGTTGTATCGTCAAATTGTGTTAGTGATGTTTCTTTTTGACTCTTGGTAATATTTGAAAGCTGGGATTTGCTAAACTCAACTGTTGTATGAAAAAGCGATTTTGTGTAAAGTGTTTCCAAGCCAGATGGTTGTGTCTTTCCTTGTAAAGATATACTCATTATATTCAGATCATTTTTAATTTGAGCAATATCGTCTGCACTGGTATCTGATCTACTATTTTGACTAACAGAGATATTCTTCGGTATTTCCCTTTGTGTATATGATTCACTGCATTCTATTACGTTTTCTATATAATTCTGGTGCTTAGTTAATGTACATCTTTTGACTACTTGTAGATGTTTTTCAGGATTGAACAACTTTGGCCGACACTCGGTATACGTGAACGGTAGCGATATCGACAAATGTGAACGATCCAATGAGAAATGTTCTACTGTATCTGATTTATCGATATCACCATTAACATTTGGAGTATGCTGTCCTTGTTCCAGTTGTTTGTGTGTATCCAAATCTAGAGAAAATATTTGCTTTAAACGTGACTCGAAGAGTCAAGTGCCATCAAACAATACCTGTGTGGCTCTCTTTTTCTTCCGGGATCGTTCTTGATAACGACGCATCATCATTGTTAAGAATTGGTGCAACTTTTAATGAATTTTCTGATATCGTATCTGATCTTTGCTCAAATAAAAAGTCACCATCGTTATCGATCGTCGATTCTTTTTTCAATAGTTTAGCTGTCTTATTTAATACTCGGTCTTTTACAGAAGATGATTCATTATTTTGTTTCAAATCATTCTCAGATACCGTACAATTTGTTTCTGCGACTGTATTTGAACGTCCTAATAATTGTCGTCTTTTGTTTGCTAATCTTTGTGCTTCGTAAAGAAATAAAACACTTTTGCGTCGTATATCGTTTTCTTGTTGGTGTTCAATAACATTATATCTGTTAAGCAATGAATGAGGACTACAGCCTAAATTTTCTCGGATATATTCAAGTTCAGCAATTTTCTCTTGCATTTGCTTTTCATACCAATCTAGCCAGAAACGTTCAGGTATCTGATGCGCTTTTTCAACTATTCGCGATGATAAAGCATTTCGGGGTAACGATGATGCTGAAACACCAGAATGTTGAATTAATGTACCGAATGGAGGATAGGATGCTGCTGTTGTCGTAGAACTTGGTGTAGGTAGAGATGAATACGTTGATGGATTTGAGCCATATGATGGTGATCCCTGATATAAATGTAGTTCGGGAGCAATTTCATGCTCAAGTTCACGTACACGTTCAACCAGTTGTAAAAATCGGTGTTTTTGACATTTTGAATTATTCGTTGTCGAAACAGCACTCGTATCGGCTGCAGCATTTCGACGTCTCCGTCCCGAAGGTGATCCCATATAGCTGATGCCACTTAATTGACCAGACGTATAAGCATTTCTCACTCGATTCCATCCACCACTGGGTTTTGCAGTTTCTGTAGCATAAAAACCATTTGCTCGAGAATCAGAGGAACGCCGTCTGTGCATAGTTTATTTCTGTTACAAAAAAAGAAAAATTTTTCCTTACTATCTTCTCGAAACTCGTCTAAGAAGTAAAACAGTGATCCAGGTATCAAAAAGCATCTGTAGGCAGCTAAAATAGCTTACATAAAATGAAGTTGTGATAGAATGCTGCCAGAAGCCTCACAAAATTTATCATACAACTCTTCTCAAGAAGACACATTGTTTAGACTGTTTTCTTTTTCACAATGTTGAAAATTTATCAACAATAGTCACACTCTGCTCTATGTTTTCGCTTTATATGATCTACACAATTTCTTTTTTTTTTCATTTCGATAAAACTGTTTATTGTCACATTAAGAGAACAGGTGTTCCGAGACATAAATGTGAATATAATCTATCTAATATAATTTTGATATCAATCAGAAAGAATTTTCTCAAATATACACTTTGGCACAAAATTTATCTTTGAGGACAAGATGTTCTAGACAAGCTCAAAAAACTTACTTGATAAATTTAATATAGAAAACAAATAATATCTTTGAATCTTCTATTGAAAGTTAGAAGATTGACAATGCTTTCTTCTCTTATATTGAAATATGGCTAGCAATTAAGATTATTGAAAGCTCATGAAAATAAACTATTTTTAAATTCTCTCGTATAAGCAAGAGAATATACAGCGTGCATTTTTTTCTCCTACATTATTTTTGTCATCTACATTTTTACTAAATCAGATGACGTTTCAAGAATGTGTCAGCTGCCGTACGATTATTTTACAGGCACAGTTCCTACCGACAAAAACAAAGAAAATTCGTAGTCTTCATAAGAAAAATATATGACAAACTATACCCGCTTACTGTATATTACTTTTAATATTTGAATACATTTTGTTTTTCCGAAATATCGAATATGTCATGAAAACCTGTAATTCTAAAATTGCACTAAAAATATGAAATATTTTCGTAATTCTTTATTGGCACATAATGAGATTATACTATCAAATATTCTCTTCTTTCATTTAATGAAGCATCAGAATTGTTTTTCTTAATCCTATAAAAGAGCAAACCTGGAAACATATTTGTTTATTTAAACGGCAACTATATTTTAAGAAAATTGTCTCCAATGAAGTAAAAAAATCACTTTTAATATAACAGATGCAAAGACAAAAAGGTATACAGTTCAAATAGTTCTACAATCCAACTTAATGTCACTTTGATAAAATTACATTCATAATACTCGGAACGATTGTAAATCGACTGAGTGAAACGATAGGAGACTTTCAGTGTTGGTTTTCAATATAAAAAATTGTTCTTTCTTTCTTCTTTTTGAATACTCTTTCTCTCTCTAGCGCAGTTGGAATTGATAAGAATTTTTTCTGCAGACGTGGACCGGGTCGGTTAATAATGTTTATTGTAACAGTCTGGCCGATAAAAAGATTATTTTAAAACAGGCGTAACTTAAAAAATGGATATATTCAATCAAAATATATCCATTTTTATCACGTAACAAAAATTCTTCTGAAATACTTTTTTAAAAGCGTTGCAGAAAAACCGCTGTGAAGAAACCCAGATCCCAATCTGATGAAACAAAATGGAAGGAGAAAAAAAACAGTTAATTTAGCGTTTAAACAAAAAATGAGAAATATTTGATCTTGAAACGGAGCCGTACCAAATTTTCAGAAAATACAGCAAAAAAAATCATAACTTTTTAAAGATTATTAACTAGCAAAATCGGACTAGCTGGAAGTTCTATTGGTCCGTTTTGCTGACCAGACTAATTTCCACTCTGCTCTCTAGCCAGTCACTCATAATGGGAGAGATTTGGAATAACAACGGATTTGCCACGAGCAAAAGTTGTAGATGGGCCATCTAAAGTTATAGTTTTAATAACTGATTTAATTCACTCATAAGCACTCTTAAAGTTTAAGTACTTCAAAACTCTGCCATTCTTTTGTTAAGATAATTATTCATCGCATGATTCTCAGTCTTTTATCCATACCATGTTTCTGGTGGGTTCTTGGTTCGTCGAAAAATGCTGTAGAAAACAAACGTTCATCAATTAACAAAGGGGATCATTTTTATCTTTTAACCATATAGATGTGGAAAAAAGGACAATCAAAATCACAACCATTGAACATGACATATTTGAAGTTATTTTTTTAATATATTAATTCATGCCCATGGTCTCGCAAAAGGGTTATTTTATAGATAGGCAGCTCTTTCTCGATGAGCCAGTTCTCTTATAGCCACATACTTATGTAAATTAAAGTTCTATAGTATACTGTTTTTTTTTTGACTGTTCTTCCACTCAGTCGACTTTTCAATTTTGAAAAGCATAGTGTTGATATCTAGTTCTCTATGCTGATTGTAGCACTGATCATCTCCAAAAGCGTTTTTTGAAAACTCTAAAAGATGACTAAACAACAATAACAACAAAAATAACAGCGAAAAAAAAAATTAAGAAGAAATTTTGTTAAAAAAAATATTCTTCAAAAGAAATTTTCCTAAACATCTACACATTCTTTTAGGAGTAAAAATAATGACGTTAGAGAATAAATACTGAACATTGATTACAAACCACTGTTTATTTAATCTCCTTTTACTGCTGCCGTTGTTTGTTGTTCTTTGAATTCAGGATACATGGATGTTACTAAACCCCACGTCACAGTGCCTGTAGAAAGTCCTTGAAGAACATTTGCCAATTCATCAATCTAAAAATATAATGATGAATAAACGACCATTGAAAGGTAGCGTAGAATCATACTTTTAATCGTATTTGTTTACACGAATCTCGTTCTCTCAATGTAGCTGTATATGGTTGATGTAAACTATCAAAATCAATTGTAATTGCAAATGGTATAGCAATTTCGTCCGATCGAGAATAACGTCGACCAATAGAGCCAGAACTTGTATCAATTTTATGCGATATACCAGCTTGAGTGAGAAAAGAAGCTAAAATATTAAAAAAATGTCATATACGTGTACTTAATTATCAAAAATACTTACAAATTTGTTTAACAAATGGTTTGAATTCATCGTTTCCACTTAACGGTAATACAACACATTTATACGGAGCTATAATCGGTGGCAAAGTGAAATATGTACGTTGTTCGTCTCCATCTCTCACAGTGAAATTATGCTCCCATATTGCGTACATAATTCGACCAATACCAAATGATGGTTCAATAACAGATGGGACGTATTCTTCAACTATAATCAATAAAGGAAATAGAAGAGAAATGTCTAAAGATCTATGACTGATCTTTTACCATGTACAGTTTTTTCAGATGTTTTGAATTCAAACATTTTTCGTGTAATTTTGAATTGTTTACCATCAATATTAATTTGAGTACTATCACATTGATTCAATTCTTCATGTAATGTTTTTGCAATATCATGTGATAATTTATTCAAATAATTGGTGACAATGTAACTATCTTGTTTAAATTCTTTACCGATAATGCTATGTTGTGTCAAAATTTCATTCACTGTGACTTTTTTTGGTGCCGGTAATGCTTTTTCGGCTACTAATTTTATTCCACTAAACTTGGTATGTTGAGTTAAATCATAGCATGAACGATCCGCACATCCAACACATTCAATCCAACCATATGTTGTTTGACATTCAGCATCCCAACAATCTGTGGCATAATGTGCCATTTCATTACTCATGTGTTGTCGAAATCGTAAACGTCGTTTATCAACACCACATTTTGTTAAAAATAAATAAATACGTCCAATAAAATAGCCTAATGTTTGATTATCAACTAATTTTGATTGAACAGCATCACCAAGTCTTATTAATTTAGCTGGTTGACCATTCATTTGATTCACGGCAGAATATAAAGTTATTTGTAAATTAGCTACATCATCAAATTTTGGATGACTTTTATCGGCAGGATCCAAGAAATGTTCAATTTCAGCCATCGTAAATTCTCTAAGGCATCAATAATAACTTATCAATTTTTATTATTATAATTAATGAGGATGATTTACCTAACTCGTATGAGACCAGATCTTGGTGATATTTCATTTCTAAATGAATTACCGATTTGAGCAGAGGCAAACGGTAGACGTCCTTGATTAAATTCTAACAAACGTTTAAAATTCACAAATATCCCTTGTGCTGTTTCAGGACGCAAAAAACTAAACATAAAATAACTTAAAAATAAACAAGAAATTTAGATAATTTAATAAATACCCTTTGAGTTGCCCGGTAGGTCCAATCGATGTTGCAAACATTAAATTAAATGCTACTGGTTCAGATAAATCATTATTTGTCAATGGTGCTTTCATTTTATACTGTTCAATAGCTGATTTCATATCGGATGGTTTCATGTTGTCAATCTAAAAACATATGACATTTCTTTATTTGTATTTATAAAAAAATCTTAACAAACAACAACTTACTTGTGGTAAGAGTTTTTCAATTTCATCTTTTTTCTCACTACTAATATCTTTTGCCTTTAACAATTTTTCCAAATGAGCTAAAAAGGAAAATAGAAACGATGACTAATTAAGGTAAACTACTACTACTATTTATTCTACCTTCAATTAGATGATCAGCACGATAACATTCACCAGTTTTAACATCTTTTACCATATAGTCAGAAAATCGTTCTACATGACCAGATGCTCTAAAACACAACAAAATAGTTGTATTAATATTAACATCTAAAAAATTAATTCGATATTATACATACTTCAACACAATTTCAGGAGTTAACATTGAACAATCAACTTCAAGCATTTGTTCTTCTAATATAAAATGACGGCGCCATTCTGCCAGCACATTGGCTTTAATAGCACAGCCCATCGGTCCATAATCATATAAACCATTCACACCTAAAATTATTTGATTATTATTTCTTATATTCAATGTGAGAAAGTCGACTATATACTTACCACCGTAGATTGCAAATGATTGATCATAGAAAAAACGTCGTTTCAATAGATCTTCCATTTTTAAACGATCAATCACCTGTTCTTTCGGCATTAATTTTGTTACCTTAAAGTGACGATTATAGT